AGAAAAATGCTTTTTCCATTTTACAAAACACATGGAGACACATAGAAGTGTCTCCATCCACAGGATGCCTGTGAGTAAATGTACGGTTTCTACATGTAGTCTTTTGGAACCAATTTACATGAATTAATTTGTCATGCTATTCAATGACTGCAAGATCTTCTGAAATCCACATAAATTGTTTGCCATTAATGAACCATCTTGAAGTGGTGAGAGCATACTGCAGTAGCTCCTGTAGGATTCCATCTTTTATTATGTTTGTCCTCATTATTTATGTGCAGCCCAGACTTTTCAGTCAAGCTCCGCCGGCCTGGACTCTGCACTTCTAGTCGAAGATGTCACAGCAGTATCAGTGTGTGCAATATTTAAAACTGAATTTTTGCAATGCAATGTAATAATTGATGGCTAGTAAATTCCAAGCGTCATGATCTCACACTTTGCATGCCAGTGAAACATTCAGCCTGCTGGATGGGAGTCTCACCGCCGTAAACATCCACACCTGATACAGATTACGATACCATAGCTGCTACAGATCAAAGAGTATTACCCCGTAGCATATAACAAAAAAATTATAAGGGTGGAAATTGCGTGGCTTTCTAATATCATGCAGCTGTAGAGAAGACATCAAACGAATGGCATAGTTTTAGGAGAAATGTACAACCCACCTCAGGTCAGCGCTGAGAATTTCCCTTTAGAAACCCAGGAAAGTACATTCACCTCCAAGGCAGTTGGAGGTGAACGTATTTTACTCAACAGGGTTTTCAAGACTTGCTTCCAATCTCACAGACCTCATAGCCTGCCTGGCCTTAACCCAGTTCCTGTTCATTTCTGCCTCCTGTCTCTATAGTCTGTCTGGATGCCAGGAGTATAAAAAAATAAATAAATCACAGTACTGTGGAAAACTTCCTTTGTAGCCAAAAATCTAACATCTGATCAATCTGCCTTTAACAGCTGCCGACCAATTACTGAAACATGCCACATCATGAAAATCCTTGAGACTGCTGGGGAGGAGGGGGGGTCGGGTCACCTTTCAGCCGCTATACAAGTCTGCTTACTTGCCATTTTTCATTTAGACAAACTACATATCATGAGGATGGTCCCATTTGCTTTTTCTTATACATTTTCTTTTTCAGCTTCTATGTCCAGACTCTTGGTTTTGAAGACGCCTCTAGACCTGAAAGAGCTAGCTGTAGATGCTAGGAGTGTAACCAGACACCTATTCGGACTGAAACATCCAGTAAGCTCCTGTCGAATACAGCGCTGATTTATTCCTCAACACATGCAGAATGTTTGTTTGGAACCAAGTATGAATGGTAAAATGGCTGGAACTGAACCAAAACTTTAAGTCAGTGTACAATTTAAAAAAAAGATTTAAAATAAAAAAAGAAGAAAGATTTGAAACACTCTGTTCACTTAACTCAATTTACTCATCTGAAACAATATCAGGAGCAAAGTAATCATACATAGAGAAAACTCAGCATCACAAAATCTAATTATTTCAAAACTAAAATACATTATTTAACTGTCGACTGATTTTGAAGTGCAACGTAAATATAACTTATGACTTTTAAAATCTGAATGCATACCAAACCGTGATTTGTGTTCCATTATGCCTATAGTTTAGTAATGAATTGAGATTTTTTTGTTCTGTTCCAGTAAGGAGGTTAAACGTTAATGTGTTCTGCAATAACTTATATTTTCCAAGACCCTTCAGGATTAAAGTATAAAACCTTTGCAAATTAGCAATATAATCAAATACTCTCTAAAGTGTAGCCGATGAGTTAGTGTTTTCTGACTGCAATACATGTAGTTCATGTTGGAATTTGTGAAAGCTGTAACAAAACAGTTTTTAGGTCAACTTTTAGCAATTACCTTGACTAATACTGTCCTTGAGCTGTACGCACAGTCATGAAACAAGCCACAATCAACTCTTGATCTCTGATCGGTATTTCCTTCCCAATTTGTAATTTTTCTGCATAAAACTTAATCTTTGCTTTATCAAGCAAGAGACAAGTTTCTAAATACAATTCTTGCCTACATGCCTCAGAGTTTAAGGCACCAAGTTTCATCCAATTTGTACTCAGTACAACATTTTTCTTGAAGAAAATAATCAACACAGACAAATGTAAGTAAGCAAGCCCTTCCACAGGTCAAAAGCACAAAGTGCTTTCCAAAAAACCAAACATATTGTTTTAAATCGCCTCTGGTAAGCAAGAGCTATGAAGAGTCAATATTGGCCATGTCAAGACTTTAAAATTGACTTTACATACATCTGGAGTATTTGGTAATAAAGCTTATAACAGTTATGAACCCCATCAATAAATAATGAATGACCATAATGTTTGTAAGATTTGAGGAATGAATTAGCAACATAAATAATATATATTGAAAAGAAATCTAATTTGAATCTCATGAACATGTTCATTTTGAAAACATTTTAATTCTACATGCATACATAGCAATCAAATTTAAAAGATGCTTGAAATAAAAATAAACAAAGTAATGTGAATTTTACATTTAAGTTGCTCAAACAGATCCTGCAATGTGCTACTCATGTTCTACCTCTAAATAAAGTTCTACAAATGTACATTGCTAATCACAAGTATAATCAGACTTCCCCACACATGTCTGCTAAAGAGGTGATGTTTGCACAGAAAAGTTTGATTAAGCCATAAGAAGAACCAAAGTTATTCACAGGGGTCAATAAATTATTCTAAGAGCACTTACTGTTCAGAAAGACAATGACACATGATGATTAACGTTTTCCTTTATGCTTTGTCATATCAAAACAGGCTGTTCAGGCAAGATTTCAACCACACTTTCTAAGAGATGTCCTTACGTGTTCAACATACAGCCTGTGGTAAGATTTAGTCTTACTATGGAAAAGTATCAAAGCAGGTGAGCTGCAGCAAAAAAACAACGTATCATGCTGCCCTCTGGTGGTGTTATTTAAGCTTACATGTACAAAAAAAAAAACGTACATTCAGAATAGTTTATTAAATTGAAAATTACTTAATTGATGCTTCTTGATTATTCCACCTTCAAGTTCCTCAGCTCTTTTAAGCATAACAATGCTTTGCTCAGCTATCTGAATAGGATCTTTAACACAATGTATAATATGTGTTCATATCAGAAGATGATGAAGTCTGACTAAATACTGGTCAAACATGGAAAGATTAAATAGTTTTATTATTCAATAAATGCAAAAAAAGTTAGAATTACACATGCATCCACTGAGAGCCTTTACTTTGATGCATTTTTTTAAACTGAATTAAAAAAAAGATCAGCTGGACTGAAAAAAAAAATACTAAAATCAAGGAACCTACTTTTCTATTTTATACAATACATTTCTTAGAAAGAAAAGTCTGAATTTTCAGTTTAGATCTCAACAAAAACGCAACATTTGCTTTTATCGGGAAAAGCCTGATCGATGCATCTTTAGTAAAACATGAAGTATTATCTGGAGGTCAGAAACAAAAGTATTTCTGTAGTTCCAGCTACAGTAAATAGAAACAATCGAGCATTAGGAAACCAACCAACCATTTAGACAGAAATACTTTAATATCTGTCAAAAATTATGATCAATTTGGTACATGAGTGGCTTTCTTTCGTTTTTTTTTTTTTTTTACAAAATGCATTTGTACACTTGAGTAATTTCTTATAAGATTCCTTGCTACTTTTACTTGAGTAATAATATGTTGAAGTAGTATTACTCAAGAACAGTTCATGTAAAAATTTTTTTTTTTGAATATTCTACTCTCTTTCCTTAGGAAAGGGTACACAATCATGGAAGAACGGCTGGAATAAGTGTGAAAATTCAAAGAGAGTGCTGAAATCATTTTTAATGGCAGAGGGGAAGTAGTATAACAAATTTGGATCATCACTATTGTAATATTTAACCAAAATAAAGACACTGCACTATTTCCTAAAATGCATATTCGATGGTAGTCCTCCACAAAAAGCCATTTCCAGGGTTCAATGGGTGAATGAAATGGGGTTAGGTGGATTAAAATACTGTATCAGCAAATAAATATCCCAAGCTCTAGCTGGCTTATAAATCATTGAACATGAAAAGAAAAATAGATGTCAGTAACACTGCAACTTGCTAACAAGTTTTATTTTTGCACTCATCATCAAGCCCTGTCCAAATAGTCTGGTTTTTAAAATAACTTTCAAGTCTTATTCAGTGCTTTCCTTTGACCAGATCAATCCAAATTGTTAAAAGCTATCAAAATTAACTACAATGTAGAGTAAACACCACCACTTCATCAATCTAACCCAGTCTTGCAGCTTTTATTTGGGTTTTAGTGCCCTGTTCTACACGTGGTACATGTCAGCCCTGCGCTACCAGTGACACTGTCCTAAATGGTTCAAAGGAATGAGGCAAACTTGAATATTTCAAAACAACGTGTTTACTCACTAGAATTTGCTTGCAGTAGTTTTACCACAATGTCTCCTTTTATAAAATACTTTAACCTGATACATCCCTCCTATATGAGTCACACAGTCTAGGCCAAGCTCGCAGCATAAATCTCAGTCCTATACATAATAACATAACCAGGGAAAAAGAAAGCTCTGCAAGATGCCATCATTCTGAGACAAAAATAGCCGGACAAAAGCAACAAGGCTTGGCTGGTTCAGCAGCAGATGTCTGAACCAAAGATCCACAGGCTGGCTTGAAACACAACACGCAGATAAAAAAAAATGTGGCTGCGTTTGACATCGATTCAAACAAAGGCGAGAAGAGACACATGATTACAGGGAGATGGCTCCCAATAAACTATCATACAAGACAGCTACCGTACGGGAAATGTGTGCAGACTTATATCTTCTGTAGCTACAGCAAAAGCGAGACAGAAGCGTTACCTATTGAGTTAAAAAGCTAACGGTAGAGCCAAGCTAGCAGCAGTCACCTGAATTCCCAATCTTTTCCCTCATTAGCTTTGTTATTGTGGGCAGGCTCCTGGTGAGGGCACACACACACAAAAAAAAATCCCACTTACCTCTTTATTTCTCCGTCCTCTTGTAAAAAAAAAAAAGAAAGAAAAAGAAGGTATTTTTCTGTAACGTCACTGTATAGGAGAGTTCAACGGGAATGAAAGAAACAAAAAACAACAAATACACATAAATACGTCGTCGTCTTCTAGCACGCGCGCGGCTACGCTAATTTCAAATGTGACGGTTACAAATTTCCCAGGTGGCACTGATAACGTCTCTCCTTTAAATCCGCATCTCTGGGAGGAAAAAAAAAGATCTTTTCCCCCTCTTTTCTCCTCCGCGCTGGTAGCAGCAGCTCGTTACGAAACCAGACTCTTTTCAGAGAGAGAGAGAGAAAAAACGTAAGTAGGGAAGGGACTGGAAAAAAAGAAACCAGGCGAACGCGAAGACCCCCCTTTTTGGGGGGTTGGGGGGTTTGTTTGTGGCAGGTAATTTAAAGACGGATATCCGCAGCAGCTTTCTTCCAGCCCCCTCCCCGCTTCGGCGTCCAAAGGGCCGTCCAAGCCTCACAGCCTGCCTGTGTTTCCCGTTCAACAGGGGGAGAAGAAAGGAAAAAGTGTGGTAGTTTAGAGGGATGTAGGTGGCTGGCAGGGTGGGTGGATGGGTGGGTGGGTGTGTGGGTGGGTTTCTGACCACTCATGGTCACATGGGAAGCACGTTTCTCGGTTTGAGAGAAGAAGATGTTCTTGTGTGCTGTGGTGCTGTCCCTGGTGCTAAAACTGAAACCATTCACATTTACATATCAATGGAAAGTATGCAAATACAGTCTGAGTGATGTACTGGTGTAAATATTTCTGAAAATGTAGTTTAACTGAGATTTTATGTGATATGCCAAGATAAAGGATGACACCAAGATAAAATCAGTGCAAACAATTGCTTTCAGATGACACCTATTTATGTGACATATAATCTTTGTTTAAAAGCTGTTTATAACCAAAACTCCAGCTTTTAGAATGGCATCTGCTTAAACAAACCTAAATTAAAGAAGTAGGTCATTAGCAGGATCCAGCTGAACAAGGAGGCTATTTAGCCACTCACTTTATAGGAGTACACCACAAAATACACAGAAGTCTGGAGTGGCGTCATGACAAAATATGAAAATAATAATAATAGGAGCTTATATTTTTGCAATGTCTTGTCGTGCTCCTGGGATGACTATTTAGAAATCAAAATCCAAAGGCTATTCTCTTGAGATTCTTCTTCAGCATTTTTTCACTTCATCTTGTAGAGCCTGCAGTTGCTCTAAATTATTCCTGAGATACTATGCAGCACCTGGCAAGCTGGCGTGTCACAGGGTAAGTCATCAAGATCTGGGTTATTCATAAAGCCCCACAGGATCCTCCTGCAAAAGACTCCTCAAGACTGGCAAAAGCATTTTCCCCCTGTGCTGCTCTCAGTAGTACCGTAATAAAAGATATTTCATGGTTGTAGTAGCTCAGTTTGAAAAAGTCTTAATTGACTCAAAGTAGCCTGTTGACGGGGGCTCAGAGACACCCAAACTTTGACATCTAAATTACTTTTAGGAGAATTTATGCTCACTTCTGCTGCCTATGTTCGGTTAGGGTGTTTACTATATCTGTGAGTATGGGTGTAGCTCAACCAACAAAGTGGTGGTGGTGAAGTTTTTATGACATGAAGGGTCTTTTATCGAGGGCAGAGCTTTTCAGAAAATAGCATGCCTTTCATTACAAGCAGCGAAAGGGGTCATTAAATAGTTTTGGCGTGTTCTACCAGAACAGTTCAAACATTTTTGGTTTTTTGTGCAATAACTTTATTATTGTTGAAGAAAACAAGATAAGCCAAGATGCTGCTTATTTACACAAAATACACGTGTGCCTACAAACATTTGTTTACGTAAAAAATAAGGCGTTTTTCAAAAGTATTCACGCCACTTTGATTTTTTCTCATTATGTGACATCACAACAACAAACTTCAAAGTATTTTGTTGCCATTTATATTATAGACCAACTGATGAATATGAACATCTTTTACAAATAGAAACCTCGAACGTATAATTGGTGCTTGATTACAAGCACCAGTTGTCTGGACCACTGTTGGATTAGGTCGGTATCTATAAAGGGGGTGAATATTTATGTAATCACCTTTTTTTTGTATTTCAGTGTCATTATTTTGTTGAGCTAGTTTTTACTTTGACATTAATGTTGTTTTGTAATTGTCTTTTGTCAAGCAAGCCAAAATTTGTTGATCATAATTCATTTGTAAAGAATTAAAGAGTAAAACATCCATACTTTTGATAGGCATTTTTAAGTAATTAGTTAAAACTATGCAAATAGGTCTGTCACATAATCTTACTAATACATTAACGGTTGTAGCTTATTTTTCAATTTTGTCATTTGACACAAAATTTTACCCAGTTCAGTTTTTTTGTACAAAATATGAATAGATCCCATATGAAAGTACCACTGAAAAGACCATATTTTCATCTATTTTTCCAAAGGCAGAGTTATGAGTTATGGTGAGATGCTACACTCCACAACCCATTTCCCTGAGAAGGTATTTTTAGAGGAATTAAAACACAAAACAGATCAAAATTCAGAATAAGCAAGGTCACTAACTCTGAAGTTGCATTTTCACTGGAGCTTTTCAGTGGACTTTGCTACATCAGCTGTAAATTTCACTGCCAGTCCATTTTCCTGCAGGTGTTTCAGTGGCTGATATCAAAACCGTAGCCTATATTGGCTTATTGGACGTCTGGACCTGGATCCAATCTGCCTGCAGCCCACCATAAATATGAATGATTGTCTGGTGAACATGAGAGATTATTCATTTTCATGAAGTTGGCTTTGTCCAGTGCCTTCAGTGGTTTAATCAAGAAGTACCTAAGGACGAAAGCAAGTCATCTGTTCCTGTTGCAGCTGCGTCTGCATTAACAGCAAGACACAGAAACCATGTTTACAGCCCTGGTCCTTCTCCCAACCTTTGCTCAAACACCCATGAACCACCATAGGGCTCATCCACAATCCACCATGACAAAGGGAAAGAGCTGAGTGCAGGATATAAGGCTGTCACTGGCTGCCAGTGTGCATCCAGCACTGTGTTTTTTGCAGATTGCAGCAGTTTGAACTAAACCCCCCTCTGTCTGCTCACTATAGATGGGACGTAGGCGGGTGGGGGTCATCATTGGTGCATGCAATGACCAGGGTGGGGAAGGGACCAAAGGTGGTTGGTGAAGCAGCTTTGGTGCTACACCTACACAACCTGAAAGCTGAATCATATGGCTCCAGTCCTAAGTAACTGGGAGGAGTCTCTGAGCTTCCCTTGAGTTAATTGTCTGGGGCAAGGTCGCACAAGGTGAAGGGTGTAGAATGAGACATGCATGTATTCTGCTTTTACAACCTACCACTGACTGCAAATCCTGCCTACTAAACAGAAATTAAAGTTTTAATATTGTTTCTTCTGTATTGAGGTGTGAATATAAAAATACTGACACACTGAAGAAATTGAGTTTTTCTCTGGGAAGCCAGTGTTGTTTTTATTTGTGCGTGTGCATGCATCTCATGATATCTCTAACGCTGTTCCTCAAGATAAGAAATTATTAAAAAAAATAAAAATTGATCTTGCTTTACTTTCTGTAAAAATACAATTAACAAAAGAACAGAACCAAAAACACACTAAACCCAGATTTTGATTAGTTGTTATGAAACAGGTTTTCTCCTGGCATCGCCAATCAGTTCTGGTGGTTGAAGTGGTGAATCTCTTCTCTAGGCATGTGTGTAAGACGAAGCATCTCTATAAATGTCTTTTCTGCTCTTTTTTTGGCATAGAAGCAGATGTAACAGACGCTGGATACTTAGATGCAGCGTCAGTTTTTTTTTGTTTTTTTTTTTTTGCGTGCCACATTTGTCCCACAAAACCAACACAAGTTGCAGACGACTACAAAAAGTTTAGTAGCTGCAGTCTACTGCCATCACCCAGCGGGTTATACTCCGGTCACTGTGACCCATTTCAAGATATTTATATCCTCAACATGAAGTTTTTGAGTCGTCTCCCAAGGATAAGTACGCTATTTCTGTTTTGGTTCTTTTTCTCATCCCCTGACTCCCCTGTCCTGTTTCTTTCTCTCTCTCTCTCTCTCCCTAAACTGGTTGCTGTAGGTCACCCTACAGTCCCAGTTTTAAACAGATATAATTATTAGACAGAATGAAACCAGGACAGCAAGAAGCTGAGGCACCACTCTCATGTGGTGTGACTCGCTTAATCTAACAGATTGAGGACCATCCATAGGTTAGGTATTCGTGACACCTCCATTTTTTAATTCAGCAAAACAAAAGTTAAGCCCCCCCCACCCGTCTGTCCTTCAGTTTCTATTTTGCAGAACTCAAAACTATTATGGTACCCAGTAAACCAAATAATGTGACATAGAGTTATTAGATATATTTGGCTCCTCTTTTTAAAGATCTTATCTGACTGTCGGGAGGAATGTTGGTTATGAAAGTTTATGAATGTTGGTGAGGGATGACAGGAAATCTCTGTCCTGCACAAACTAACCAGCAGCTCCCTCTAGTGGTTAATGCTTGCTTCTCCATTTCAAAAATGGTAGAATCTATTTTTTAATTGGGGGTTTATCTTGACATAAATTGCTTTAATATTGTTTTCTTTTTCATGATCCCAAAGAATAAAATTTGTGTCTTCTGACCAGAGAGATTCTTTCATAAGCATTATTTTTATTCCTTACTCAAACAATTAAGTTTCCTAGTAACTAAATATTCTCTAGCAAACTTATAAATCTTTGACACATCTGTCTTTATACTCAGGTGGACTCGATTTCCAGATTGGGTGACTTTCAAAATACAACCAGCTGCACTGGACTTTATTTAGAGAGTCATTTAATACAAATCCACATTTTTACATGTTAGAACAATGTATGAATATCATACACTGTGAATGTAAGCACTACTTCACTTGAATATTTTTTTTGTGTGTGTGAAGATATGTTCAGGTCTCAATGTAGTTTCTAGAAGCGGTGAACTATTTGTAAATGAATCTGATTTCATGCAAAAATGTTGAGGTTTTGAGGGACACGGACTGAGATCATGATGTGAAAGACTCGATTATATCAAAGTAAATAAGTGAATATAAACTAAGGAGCTGATTATGAAATGACTTATTGTGTTTGCTCTCACTGGTCCTATTTAATACAGGGAAAATCTGTCTCTCAGTGAGAGTTAGTCGCTGCTTCAGACAGTCAGATCCTGTGTCAGTTGTTCACTGTCAGCCTCCTCATCTTGGGACCGCTCCAATGTTTGTTTTCACATTCTGTCGGCATTCTCATGGTTCTTCTTTGTATTGGAGACCCTTCAATCAAATTCAGACAATAGGCTAATCATAAATAGCTCATCATAAATTAGCCCCTAGGCTAATCATAAATACACAATGATTAGCCTGGTGGGGGCACAAGTAAAGCCTGGTTTCTTATACACTGAGGGAAACTCTGCAACAGGAGCTAATTTTTTCCTTTTAGTGGCTTTGATTTGATATATTGTTTTACATTCTGTGTGCTTATGCATAAATGTGGCCACAT